AAAGTACTACTAAAGCCCACTAAAGTACTCTAAAGCCTACTAAACTAAACGAAGTCACACAACTCTAAGCCTTCCATTCCACCGATCCTTATAAACGCGATCCGTTTCTCAAAAGTCGCAATTTTATCCAGGTTATCAATCTCTTTTTTTTCCATTTCATCAGACACGTTACTGTCAATAAATGAAAGGGCACACATTTGTGGCGTCAAGGAACACAAATGATTGCTGAACTTATTTATGCATGCCTCTGAAATAAATGGATCAATATTGGTATACTGATCTAGCCCCATCAAAAACTTCAAGTCTTGGTTTGGCGCTTGAGTCGTGAAAGGTGCCTTAAACCAAGCTTGAATATATACTTTTACAATAAAAATACATAAGGCTTCATTACTCTCCCTCTCATTATTTTTGAAGTCAAACTGGTTCCTGAAAATATGTATTTTCAAACAATAAATTGCCTTTGCCATCCATCTGGCACGGTGAATGGAGCCAGGTGGGGCAAATTTTACGTTTCCAGTAAATTAACCGAGGAAAATTTGCGATAAGATCAAGAATTCCCGGTAATCATCCCGAGGAACTTCTTTTCTATCAAGGATTGACTACGTGAAGGCGAAGATACCTTCTAAATCAAAATGACTGCCAAGATCGGCCTCTGCATGATGGTCCAAATCAGTACAATTTGGCATGAAATATTCCCCCCCCCCTTTTTTTGGAATCTGTGACCTCGAAAACAGATATCTAGAGTGTTTACTCCTCTCTTTGCTCCGCATTTGGCGTTTTAGCCACTAAAGAGCCAAAATCGGCCGTCATCTTGGATTTTGGGCATTTCCGTGGGTCGAGGGGTCTGTATTACAATTTTTTTGGAATCCAAGATCCAAAAAACATGAGAATCGACACCTCTCTTGACGTTTTGTGCCGTTTTACCAAAATTTTAATTTCAGCTTCAATTTTGGCCGCCATCTTGTTTTTGGAGCCTTGGCATCAAAATCGGAGAGTCCACCAAAGATTTTCTCATTCTAGGGACCAAACTGAAGAGAGAAAAACTTGCATCACAAACGTGCAAACGGGACATAATTTTCGAACACATGCTCCCCTGACTATGCAATAAATCGCCTTTTCCAGTCATTTTTGAGCATTTCCGGCTGGTTTTCATTTCCGTTTAGATCCGTGCCCCATCGATGCACGTTAGTAAGTGTTTAGTGCTCAAAATCATACACCTTAAGGTGGAAATAGAGAGAGAAAATAGGAAATTGCAGTTACAATCCATGGAGTGCATCGGTTACGGTGTGAAAAATCGTCTTTTTGCGTCAATTTCGAGGATTTTCGGTCGGTTTCCGGTTTCCATCAGGCCGTTAATCGATCGGTGCACGTATGGAAAGCGTTGATAGTCTGATTTTACACATGTTAGAGGGTAAAGTGGGAAAAAATATCGATAATTGAAGAGTTTATTATCGGGATATTTGGATTAACATGTAAAAAATCGACTTTTCATACCAATTTTTTACCTTTTTTGGCCTATTTGAATTTTTTTAGGCTCTCAATCGTCCGATGGCAATTGAAAAAAGTATATCAACCAACAGAATATATCTTCAGCTTGATGTATTAAAAAAAAATCGAAAATCGGAGAGACTTTATTTTGGATAATTCAGATTGAACATTGAATGGCGAAAAAATAGTAAATTTTAAAAAACCCTAAATTACGGCCATTTTAATAATTTTTAGCTCAATTTTGATGGCATATTCAGAATATACATGAAAAATTGGTCTAGAAACACTCTTTCAAAGTATGATGGATTGATACAGAGTCTCGCTATGGAGAGTCAAAGAGAGGGAAGTCGAGAAAATGAGGATCGCTAAAACGGGCTTTTTTGAATATCGCTAAAATTCACCCCATCCTTGCTGGTCGATATCTCGCGAACGGGGCGTCGGATGGAAAAACCCTTCAAATTTGTCTCTTAGAATGATGTATAGACCCCGTATACCAATTTTCAGCCAGATCGGAGGGGGTGGGGTTCCGAGCCTGGTTGAGTTGAAGTGGAATGACCCTCATGTTATTATTTTCTACCTCTACTGTAAACTGAAAGGAGAGGTTAATGCTGTAGTCAGGGGGCATTCGTCACAAAATGACGTCCTGTCTGCCTAATCGTGCAGGAATGGTGTATGATAGCTCAATCTCTTCGTTATGATGTCTAGAAAAAGGAAATCGATGATTGCCATCTCAAATTTAGTGCGGACCCTCTTAAATTTAAGATGGTGATTTTGGGGTGACAAACTTTATAGTTTCCAAGTACGCCGTGTCAGGTGACCATTCCTAGGTATATTGGATCGTAGAACCCGAAATTTCAGTCGAAAGTTATCCTGAAAGTCATTTTTAGGCCAAAATCCAAGATGGCGGCCGAAAATACCACTCAGGGGTACTAATTTGCCTACACGGGTCCAGGTGCATAGTGATGTATCAATCATTGGGTTTTCAGGGTCGTAGAGTCCGAAAATGAGGTCCTTTTTTTGCTGCGGCTTTCAAGAAACCCTAAAATCAAATATGGCGCCCTAAGTGGCCTCGAGTTTTACGACTGAAATACCAATTTAGCGCATGACAAACGATACGTTCAAAATTAAGTTTTATGGTTCAAGAAGTTCGAATGGGAGATCAAATTTTTACTTCTTCAAAATATTAAGTTTCCGAATCGAAAATGGCTGCCGACATGGTTACCAGTTAAAGGCGCAGACCACTGAATGACAATCAATATTAAGGGATTTGTCAAAGGAGGGGTTTCGATAAGGGTCGTTTTGGGCCCATACCCTGAAATTCTTCAATTCTACGATTTTTTGCTCTCTGGAAGTCCAAATTTCACGGAATGTATCATGATTTAGTCATTTCCGGTCTCTTTGGGGGCCTAATACTGGCCTAATCATGAGTCTGAAAGCCGATTTAGGCGAAAAATGCGGATTTTTTTGGCATTCGAAGCGCTGTTTCATGACGATCTCATTGGGGGAGCAAATTTTCCTTCATGTATGTTCCTTCAGGACGTAAGACAGTCACTATTGCCAATTTTCGTCGATTTCAAACCTTGCGCTCATAGTTAAAAATAACTTTTTAGAATTTTCTTATTTTTCATCATAATTTAAAATGGGATAAAAGGGCGACTCATCTTAAACCAGAGTTAGATTCCCTGGCGTAAAATGTCGTAGCTGGTCAAAACCTTCTTCCAAAAAACTTTTTGTATTAAAAGCCTCTCCCCCCTGAAAAGAGCCGGTGTTGCCATTTTTAATTGCCTAAAATCACAGAAAACAGATGTTGATGAGATGATGTGAAGTGGGCGCATTTGAACGTGCTTTTTGTGGCGGGGGTATATCGTTTTCGTTAACCAATCACGCGGGGGACACATTTTTATCATTTTTGATCGGGGACAAGATGGCGCCCACGCCCGTGTTTATCTATCGAGACATCGATTCATCCTCGACGTTGCCAAGTGCTTTTTTACTGATGTTTTTGTGACAGACAAGAAGTCTTGTTATTATTTCTCCGTTTGTTTTGGTTTCTTAACCTTTGCACAACCACTAGTATTGTGCTTATAAAGCGAACCAATTCCAACTTATTGTTAGCATTCCTGGCCATTCGAGAAACCGTGTGAGAGTGTGTTGGTGTTATCTGCGGCCTTATTGCCAAATTGTAAAGTAAAATGTAGACATTTCCATGAGTTTAAATGGGGGAAATATGCTGATTTTCAACACTGTCTGGCAACAATAAATTATGCGGAAAGAAACATTCCCTATGTAGAGATGCATTACATCATTTTTACTTTCTTTTAAAATGTGATTCTGTCGAACAAATTTGCTTCATTCGATCAAACTTCCTTAGAAATTCAACTACAAATCCCATATCCGGAAAAAATTCACTTTCTCAAGTTAAAAAATCAAATATTCTAAGTCCTCCCTTTACGATCCCGTATGTTCTCCGTAGCTACGACCAGATAACCTCAAATCAGTGGCCAGGATTGTTTAGTAGGAATTGCACAAACACAACTTTTTGCTGGTATTGAATTGTTACTGTCAACCTCAAAGACATGATCCATCACCAAACTATTGTAACAAAGCACTTTGCAACGTCGAGGATAGAATCGATATCTCGATAAATAAAAACCGACGTGGGCGCCATCTTGCCCTCACGCAAAAATCACAAAAATGTGTCGCCCGCGCGATCGGTTGACGTTAACGACAGACCCGCGCCGGAAAGCGAGGCGCCCCCTTCACAACGACTCTTCCCTGCCAGTCATATCTGCCGCCAGCGGGAGGTTAACGGAAAGGTACCCAAATAGCAGAAAATTCGCGTTTTTTCATCAGTTCAAAATCAAACTTTTCTAATTTTTAAGCCCGAAATAGCTGAAAATCCATGTTTTTCGCGGTTCTACCTCAGATTTCGACCTGGGCCCAACATCATCATGTCGTAACATATTGTATTAATTTATTTCAGTGTTTTCAGCAAAGACATTGATTCACGTAGACCGTGCATCCTGTGTAACGGAAGGGGTGACAACTTTTATAAATTGGCATGCCGATGAGTGGTAGCACCGACCTGCATCGATGAGCTCATTTGTCCAATATGCGCACATCTACGCATGCGCAGTAGCGGCCCCGGTGAATTTTTGTCAGACTGTGAGGCTTTTTTCTCGGTTGGTTATTAGTTCGGAAAAGTGAAATTTTGCGATTCGGTTGTAAACATACATGTTCTCCAACATTTATTCTTAGGAATTTTATCTGAAAATGGACTCAAAACGAGTTAATAGCGAAAAACCGAGCGCATTAATGGATTCTCCATTGTATCTCTGCAGTCTCTTCGAGTGCTTGGGACACGCTCTCTCTCCCTCCCCTCCCGCCCATCATGGTGATCCGAGAAACTTGTCTCGTTTCGCCTGTACAAAACTGAGCGGGATGCACGGTTTCCGTGATTCAATGTCTTTAGTTTTCACAATTCAAGCTTTGAGCGAACATCTTTGTTCCAGGTCCTGAAGATGATCGTGTAACGGAAGATGGGATTAACTGCACTTTCCTTAGAGACTTATCAAAATTACCTCAGCCTGAACAAAAAAACTCAAAATCTCTGGCAGAGCTTCTCTTGAGGTTTTTTGAATTCTATTCTACCTTTGACTTCGCAACTAAAGCTGTTTCCATCAATTTAGGCACTACCATCAATAAACCAGAGCCAGTTGCACCAATGTTCATAATTAATCCCTTGGAAAGATTATTAAATGTTACTAAAAATATGAATTTTGAAGAGACAGCAAGGTTAAGGATAGAAGCTAAGAATGCCTTATCGGAATTTTCTGTAAATGCCGTCCATGAAACATTCAACGATAAAAAGAATTGGGGTTTAGCAGATTTAACGCGCAATCAGAAAAAACCTCCCAGTGAGCAATATTTTTCCGGTCTTCTGAAAACCCCTCTTAAAAATGGGAAACGGTTAGTAAGGGTAGAGGAACTTTTCAATAACACTGTTGAAAATGAAGTGAATGGTCATATAACACTAAAAAGCCCCTCTAGTGAGACCTCAGGCACATTCAATTCAGAAATTACTAGTGAAAGTGAAGACTCATCAAACTCTAAGATCTCTGATACTGAAAGTGCAAGCTCAATAGATACCGAAAATCAAGATCCAAATTCTGTTGTTATCAGTGATAATGCATCCCAATCAAAGAAAATACTACTACCCAGAAGGGCAACGCAGTTGAAAAAAAAGAAGAAGTTAAATTGATAGAAAAGAAACTGGTATTTCTCGACGATGGTATGTCCTCAACAGAAATAAAGAGAGACCCTTCACTAGCCTCTTGGTGACATGTGAATTCTTTCACTTTTAGGGATGCAACACTTTCTTATGGACAATTATATGAGAGCAACAGTCATCTTACCTTCTAGGTGGATGATGAGCTTCGGTTGAAGTTATGAGCCACAAGTTTACCAAACTTCGGTTCGTTCGTAAATGAAATACTAAACCCATTGTTGAGCATCCACCCAGTAGATAGGTCAACAGTTGAATGTTAAAGTCCTGAAATTAAAACCTTCCACCATTGCCAAGATACCAATTGAGGGTTTTTCTTTCTCTCTGGTTCTCCACTAGTGTCTCAAATTTCTTCCACAGCAAATTTTGGCCTGTCATTTAATCAAAAATCAGTTTTCGTCATGTATTGTTGATAACATGCATTTAAGGCCTTCCATGCGAACTGTGACATTCTCCGTTAAGGTTTTGAAGGATGCTGAACGAAAGAACGTTTCGATGAAAGAAGTGTTAATTATGGCACTAGAAATGAAATGAAAATAAACGAAGTTAAAAAAATTTTGTATCGCTCATTCCCACCTACCCTTTTACTACTGTGTTAAACTCCATCAAATTATCTTTAAAAAAGTGCAAATTACTTATTTTCAGAGTATCAAGCAAGGTAGATTAACACAGGTATGGACAAGTTGAAAATCCGGCCTGTGATTGGCTCTCTAGTGGCCCCTTAACGTCCGCCATTTTTATGCTTTCATTATTGTGATTGGTTGGTGATTTATTGGTTATGTTTCTCCAATTTGGTAATAATTCGTTATTTAAGTTTTGGAGATAATTTAATTGACTACTAGACAAGGTACAAATTTAAGCAATCTGCTACATGCTTCTTAACCAGAACTTCACGTAAAACACGATTCACACAATGAGTATTACTGAAACCAACTCATATCGAAGATATTAACGCTTTTTTCACACATTGGCTACGAGGAATTTGAACTGCCCGCTCACAAGAAACTCAAAGCTCTACGTGATTCAAATCGCGCACTACAACGGTTTCAGCAAGCTCCTCAATCGGGCAATGCTCATTTCCCACCATGTGTTGTTCAAACTATACGCAATTTGCTGTAGCTGAGCCAAAGCGTCAAGATGGAAGTTGCCTGATTTTTTTATCGCAGAGACTGTCATGATAACCTGTAGCGCGCGATGTGAATAACGTAGAGCATTGAGTTTTCATGAGCAGATGGTTTGAATCCACGCATTAAGAATCATTAAATATCTCCGTAAGGAGTTGATAGAGGTAATTTTCGTTGTGCGTATCGTGTTCTACGTGAAATTTTTGTCAAGGCAAATGTATCAGATGGCTGAAATTCGTACCTTGTCTAGTGGTCCATTGTTCCCGAGGATCTTATTACCTACCACTGTGAATGCGTGATGGTGTTTTGATGTTTAAATGGAGCAATTCTTTAATAAAGTTGAGAATAGCGCGGTCAAACTGGCCCCTTAACCTACGTCACGAAGTCATGTGACACGCACTGAGGCTCATGGGAAATTTCCAACTTGTCCATACCTGTGTAAATCTACCTTGGTATCAAGGAAGTTCTGACAGACTTGTAATTATTGTGATTTGAAAAAGCCTTTCAAGGATGGACCAAATGTAACAGAAATGCACCAAGTCGCATTTTAGAAAAGTAATACCATGGAGTAATTATGGTTTTACTTAGTCAGAAATTTTCTTCTGTCTGAAATTTTAAGTTAACAAAAATATTTTGAACATAAAATTTGTCATTTAACTTTGTCCTAAACATCTAATGGAGGAATAAAACAGGAACCCTTCTTTTCTCAGTTCAATCTCAATTCATTTTGATGTGTTCCTGTTAAACTTGGTCTAAATAAAATCTATGTTCTTGAAAAGAAAAAAAGGATCCCTTTCTATCCTTCCCAAATAAAGACTCATAATTTTTTTTTTTTTTTTTTTACTTGTAACCATTATCCACCAATTTAGTTTACCACAAGAATCTCCCTATTTCGGTACTAGGAGGATTGTTCCCTGGCAACCCGCGGATTTCAGTCTCTTTTTAGTTTTTTATTACAAAAAGGACACTTCTAAATGGTTTTTTTTTGGTGATAAATAATTAATTTGAGTTTCAATTATTACTGCTGAAGATTAGTTGGCCAAACTTATACTGATTGCGTCTAAAGAAGCTCATTTCAATGGTGTCTCCAGATATCCTATGCGTAACTGAATAGATCAATTTTCCTTATTCGAAAAAGTTTGATTAACTGAGATTTGTTTAAACTCTAGCTTTTAAGATTCGAGAACCGAATGTATTGAAAATTGTTCTTTCGAATGATATACATAGATATGGTATGATATGTACTATATCAATGGTATTCTCATTATGGTGATGGTATTCACATCATTAACCTTTATTCATACCACAGATTAAAGACTGTTGCCCTGCATAGACGATCAAATTCCGAACCAATTCCTATCAAAGTAGACATGCTGATGACTGGTGGTCACCATCTACCATCAAATTTTGACGGGCCGCACTTTTTTCTTCGAAGTAAGATCAGACCAGAGTACCACCATTCATCATTTCCTGCCACAGGAAACATTTCTGCCAAGTTTCCATTTTAAAAAGAAGCAAATTAATGAGTTTCAGACTGATGATTCCCGACACTTTGATGCTACTTTGATCAGAATTGGTTCGGGAATTTGATCGTCTATGCAAGCCTTGTCACTCAGTAGTCAATTTACCACCATCAGTAGTGGCGCTCTATATGATCCAAAGTATAGTTTCTAAACCGAAGATTTTTCTTAGTGCAGGGCCAGAGTGATCGGTTTTTTTTTTTTTGCTCTTTATTTTCTCAAGCGTGTTTTCTAATGATGTTTTTGTTTTATCGTTGGATAATTGGCCATAAAGAAACTCCTGACATTTTGATAGTGGAAAGACTAAGTAATATTTGTCTTTGGCTTTCTTGATTTCATAAAAGTTGTGGAGTTCACACCTTAATGGATTAACAGGATGTACTTATGTTAAAAAAAAAAAAAAAAAAAAAAAAAAAAAAAAAAAAAAAAAACTATGAGCACACAGTTTCATGTAGAACACATAACTTCTTTTAGAATTAATGCGCCCAATAGACATTTTACCTCTCTCGATTTTTTTTTTTTTTTTTCAAACTTTTTATAGGTATTATTAGAATATATGAAGGGTGAGGCCCGACTTAAGGTGATTCTATGTCACAGAATATATAGGCTAAGGTTCACTCCCAGATATCCCGGTCGAAGAAGAAGAACACACCTAGAAAGCATTGTTTGTATGTTGCCTTTTGTCCGGAGCTTGGACGACCTTCAACGATGTCGGTTTGTTTGTTGAAATGCACTCCTTTCTACCCCTACAGTCTACTTAAATGCATTCACTTGGCACTAATGAACAGACGCTGGAAAGTACAAAACACGATACATTGGAGTAAACGGGAGTAAACCTTCTGTAGCCTATATATTCTGTGTCTATGTGATCTAGGGCCGAGATTCGCCCCCACGCTGCGCTGCCTCACGGTTTACGTTTTTGAGAAGCCATCATTATCGTAATGTACAAGATAATGCAGGAAACTGATCCAAAACGTGTGTAGCAGCATAAATACTGAGTAGAACGAATTTTTTTTTTTCATGTCGTGTAGGAAATGTCCAGTGAATCACTCTTGAACAAATGTAATTTTTTGTATTAAATACTAGTCACAATTTCTATGCGGTGATAGAGTATATATTAGTTGATTGTGCGCCTTTTTTTGTGTTCACCAGTGTAATTGTGTCAGTGTTGTTGGTACTTTCAGTTTAATGTATAACATTTTTGATGTATAGCGATAAATTTATTGTTGAATTGAACGTAAATAGAAGGTACATGATTGTCCTTATTAGTACAAGTAGAGAAGTGGCGACATCTCGAAGTCACCGGTGTAACACACCGATTTACTTACATCGCAAATGCGGGAAATATGAATGCAGCATTCCAACATGCCTCCCTAATTTAGTATCTTTTCCCCAGAGATACTAAATGAAAAACAATACATAAACAACCTGTTAATTATCACTGATTGCTTTTGAACAGGAAAAAAAATGGTCTCCTTAGACATAGTACCTAGAAAAATTAATTTTTAGCCTTTGGATTTCATTGATTATAATTTTCCTAACAATAATAGGGTTTAGCGAGTAATGTCATGACATTAGTCGATGATCAAAAAAAAATGTATCTTTTTCTTATTCACTTTATACAGTTATTTTTCGAATTCAGTATTGAATATACAATAGGACATCAAATGCCAGAAGGAATTTAATTATCGTTTTATTATGTTCGATTTACCAAATAACATTATTCATTTTTTTTTAATTTATATTTTTTCTTTAAAAATAATTGTGTTTGCAATTATAATTACAATTACAATTGTTTGAATAGAAAAATTCCTGCTCACAAATCAAGAGAACACGCTTGCAATCATGCGATACCACCTACCCATACCTGGCCACGGGGGGATTGAGGTTATGTCGGTCGCGAATCGACTTGTTGAACGTGCTTCCGTGTGTTTTTATGGAATCGCATTGTGAAATCAAGTGTTTTTCCGGTATTTTTCGCTGAAAGTTTCGCGATTTCGGTAATTATTCATTCCGTGCCGTCGTTCTATCCGCTGAGCAGATGAACAACGGCAAAATGAATTTATCTCAGTGCATTTTCGTTCGTATTTTGTGTTTGTCCGGTCGGTTCCACTCCATGTGTCGGGAGGAGAAAGCTTTTTGTGCAAATTTATCTCAATTCCCACAACTAAAAAGTTTATTTTTTGTATGGATTATCACCATCCAGCTCCCCTGGAAGTTAACATATCAATTTAGTGTTAGAGTGAAGGCGCACCCTGTTTGTTATACCATCATCGTAACTAAGTTGTAGCTGCAGTACGATGGCTTACTTTGTCGTAGAAAAGGGATTATCAGCACCAATTAATTCCGATTACCTCTCAATTATTAACGAAGTAAAATTAAGATTGAGACCTGTGGTCCAGTTTGTTTCATTGCATTCTCAGTGTAGTGAAACAGCTTCATTTTACTTCATTTTATCTGCAGTGCAACTTCTCGCGGTCAAACAGGATCTCTGACAACGTGAGAATTTCTAAATCTAAACATGTGTGTGGATATTTTGCATTCGTTTTGTTAAAAGCATGGATTTTCTCTCTAATGGTGCTTTGAATTATTTTTTGGCATGCTATAAGCATTTGGGTTTTATACTGCTTTACTTTGAATTTTCCTTTGCCTTGCTATGAGCATTCTTTCTCTGCACGTTTTGAATATTTTTTGGTAATGGTGGCTTTAAGCCGAACTCAATCTAGTCTTGCTTGTCAATAACTAGAATATAGGACTCCCACTATTTAGAATTAGTAAATTGGAGAACAATGGGTAGTTGTTGCTGCATACCTGGTTGTAAAGCTAATTATGCAAGTTCACCTGATCCGAACGTTTCAACGTTCGAATTCCCTGATTCTGTCAAGGATCCAGAGCGCCATGCTAAATGGGTTAGTGCTCTGAACAGGGATAATTTCACCGTCACAAAAAGCTCTGTTGTGTGCATTAAGCACTTCCAGTCAATTTGTCGTGACACACTAAGAATTCAAAACTAAGGAGGGTCCAGTTGTTCAGGTGCCAAGGGAGGTACCAAAGTTAACAAACAATGCGTACCCCACCATCTTCCCAAATCAACCGGCCTACCGATCAACAGTTCCTGCCAAAAGAAGGAAAGACCCATCAGAGCGAGACCAAGAGATGGCACGGGCTCAGCTCAAGAGGCGCTTTCAGCTGCAGGAGGAGAAAGACACTATCAGGGACTTGAAACATTTCAAGGAAGGTCTCTTAAAGCAAAGCATCGGAACTCTTAAATCTGCATCATACAATGGGTACATGTTACTCACAAAGGTTGAGGATGATAACCTAGAATCTGTTCCATTCATCATCTTTTCCATCATTCCATTATTTATTATATTTATGGCTTCAAGGGTGAGCAGAAAAAACTCTGGCTGAATGTAGGTATGAAAGCTATGTTCCGACTTTTTTCCACAATGTACAAAATCTCGCTTGTCTTCCACCTTCAGAGGACGCTGCCACATTTCATGCTCCTATCCACAAGTACATAGCAATGAATGAGCATCAAGAAATACGCGTGTGACTGGGGGTGGAAGAATAGCAGATATTAGAGTACCTGTATAGGAAGAGTAGTGACAGATCGGTTCATGGAGGGCTTAGGGCCCAAAAGTGCAGCCACCCTTCTGAGCAACTTCTAACACACAAAATTTCACTGCCAGCCTACAGATTTCAATTCTAACCAAGATGGCTAAGAATGTACATAAATGAGCGTTCTTTCGCAAAAATAAGTAAATTTATGCAAAAAGTAAATCAAATACATGCTTTCTAAACGACGGTTCGTAACAATTGTATTTGTAAATCGCTCTGGACATTCGAAATTCATAGGTTGGCTGCCCTTTTGGGCCCTAACTTTATTCGCGGAGGCATCGGTGAAGGCCTGATGGACTTTCCAAGTTTCAGATCTGTCGCTACTCTCCCTATACAGGTACTCTAGCAGATATGGCCTCATCCCCATCATTACCTTGAAAAATCCCGGTGCGGGAGAAATTTTAAGCAAGATCTCATGCAAGTACATTGAAGAAAGTCGCGGCGACCGCGGTTTCTGGAAGAAAGGCCTTCATTGCAGTCTTGTTTGCGGGTTTTTCACACAGGTTTTTCAACGGCTCGTGCGAAAGTAGTCAATAAGACGCATTTTCAATGGAAGAAAAAGGAGATG